TGTAAGATAAAAATTGTGATTAAGACGAAAAAAAAAATGATACTATATACAAAGTCTAAAAAAATTAGACGATTTTGTTAAAAATAGAAATTCAAAAAAATGACAAAAAAATCGATTTTATTTTTTTTAAAAAAGGAAATAAGTGTTTATAATAACGAACGAAAATTAAAAATGTTTCGTTGGAATAAACATTTTTGACGGGTTTCGAGTTACCGGTGAAAAATAGAAAGTAATATGATTAATATACAAGTTTGACAAATGTAGAAAGAAACTTTCGAATTTAGAATAACCGCCAATTTTGTACTGTATCTTTTTTAAAAAAGAAAGGAGTTTTTTGGTGGTTTCTTGCAAGATTTCAGACTGCTTTTATAATTAAAGAAACACTAATCAGCAGTCCTGTTAAAACGAAAACATGACAGAACCAGCCCTATAAAGAAGAGTTCATGTGATCATGACATCGTTTTATCCGATTCGAAGATTTACAACCTTTAAATCTCTGTTTTTTTTAGTTTGTTTTTTGAAGATTTATTTCTGATTCGTGGTAATTGATTTTAGAAAAAAAAATCACGTATAATCATGAGTGGATTATTCTTATTAGAAGAAATTCTAAAATTTTTCGAAAAATAGTCATGCAAGTAAGTTAACAAAACCAAATCCCTCATGTTAGTAGGTCAGGTGGTGGATATAGATAAAATGTCAAAGTTCTATCTATCCATATGTAGCTAATTCCGGATAACCATTGAGGATTTGTCAATTGTTGTAGTGGCGCAGTTGAATTTTTTACATTAGGTGAGTAGATCTGCGACAATTTTGTCAACTTAATAGTTGCAACTCCGTTTTTTTGATTCATGGTATGGTATGGCTATGCATATGGGCGTTATATAATTATTTATTCTTATAAAACTTCTATATATTTTCTTACCTTTAAGGTTAAATTGAATAGATTCTTCTATTGACGTCCTTGGCCAATGGGAACGAAAGGTATGGTCCGAGAAAAATTATTGATTGATATGGGTCCATATAACAAATGTCAATAAATAAAGTAGTTTTTATATTTAATATAAAAAAACGCATTTAGACACAACTTTCCTAGTTAAAATGTTTTTTTATAACTCTGCATCAAAATATTTTCTCGCTCACAAGTTTCAAGCTAAATTGATCTTCATAAATGATTGTACTTTTCTCAATTATATTTTTAGACAGACTTTTATTGAGATTGGGCTAATAAGTACCGTTTATACAGTACATGCAAGTAAGTTATATTTTATTTATTGAGATGTGTTAGGTAAAATCCATATTTTCTTCCAAAGACGTGGAATAAAATTTACTGGTACATTTTTAAATGTACTAAGCTATTCCGTAGGGGTACAATGAATCTTATTGTTTTATTTTTAGAACCGTTGCTATATTTGAAAATTCTCAAATGACTATTATACTTATTATACTCCAATAAAACATGCAAAAAAAATGATGGGTTTGTGATACAGTCATATTCGAATGCATACATTCATAAAATGGTTAGAAATCTGAAAATTTTTACAGTATTTAACAAGTCGAAATGAATCTTTATTTTCCACCTTTCAAATAATATTTTCAAATTGTTCAAATAAAATAATGATAGGTTATCTTTATTAGTCAACCAAGTTCACTCATATTTTTATGATCACTGATGCAAACGAAATTGGCGTTTGATGGGTATATAAGTATATCGCTTTTTTTTTAATCCTTTTTTTTTTTTTTTAAGGATAATTATGATAATAATAAATATCTAATATCTGTCAATTTTTAATAAAATAAAATAGCTATTCGATATCTAGGAAAGGAATGATATCTAATGAGACCAACTTTATTGAACCAAAAATCCTATCGACGTAGAGTGCAAACTTTTGGATGGAGCATTTGAAATCAATAAATTAATTTATTAATCTTCAATGCTCCATCCCAAAGATTACATTCTACGTCGACATTATTTTTGATTTCACAAAATAGGTCATTTTTAGATATCCTTCCATATGCGGGACATTATAATAACTTATTGTTTTTTCATTATTTCTTTAAAGAAAAGGATTAGAACAAAAGGCCATACTTACACCCATCCAACGAGTTCGTTTGCAAGAATGTACTGACGCGGAAAAGATTCCTTGCCATGTATAACGAATGACATAATGACGTAAATTTATTTTATTGCCTAACAAAAATAACCCACCGCTAATTCATTTGGCAAAATGCTTGAAACGATAATTTACAGTATTCTTAAATACGTTCGGCAATGATTGAAATTTTTATTGTGACTTGGCGCAATTAAATGTGATGATGATTATTTTGAACAATCTAAAAAAAAAAATTTTGTAAATTTTTCGGTTTTAAATAAACTCGTTTAATGTAAATTTTTTCAGTTATAAAATAATTATTTAGTGATGTAAATTTTTTTTCAAAGTCAAGTTATTGTAAATCAATAAAATCATGAATGCGACGCTACGCAACCTACAAATGCTTTTGATGCTAAATATTCAAGAGCCTGCCTCATAGTCATATATATCTCTATAAAATTTTCTGCGTTGCCACACTTATTAGTAGTATATCAGCGTAATGAATGTTTACTTCCATTATATCACTATTGAACTTTCATATCGTTAAGAAAATTTGGAATCGCTGAAACCGTAACATGGAACATTACATAACAATTAAGAATATTTGACATGCATAGACGTATTAAAATAGATTTATCTCAAATGTCCACCCTCAAAATATCATGATATCAACTCAACTAGGTGTTATTTTCTCATTTTTGAATTGACCTAAAGTACAACGTTAATTCTCTCTTTTATAGTACGGATGCATAGTGGTTAAAACAAGTAATTTACGAGAGTATTATTTATAAATTAACAGTTAGAACTCGATATAACAAACCAGACACCAAAAACTATTGAAATTTCACGTAAAAATATATAGGATTATGATATAGATCTTGAATTTTACTTTTCTCTAAAGTAAACTTTTACCCAAAGGTAAATTACCTATTGTTACACATCGATAAATTAGTTTGAATGAGTTAAATTTGAATAAATGTATTATATAAATTGTATAATAATTTTATATACGTTAAGAGTTAAGATATAGCCTAAACAACTTAGATAATATTGTATAGTTTTTATTGTAGAATACAAGCTAATTTTTTCTAATTTATAATTTGTATTCTTTTTACTAAATAACAATCATTAAATCATTATATTAGAAAAATTAATACTCATGATTATAGTAATCATAATAAAGTACCAAATTGTTAATTCTTTAAAATTAGCATGAATAAGTCATCCTAATAAAAAAAATCATTTTTATAAAGATTATTAATATAAAATTTGGTGGGTCTTTAATAACAATAATAACAATTTTTGTTAAAAATATATCTGAAAATAAGCATCTACTGTAAACTTATTTTCAATTTTTTTTAGCAATTTTCTTTCTTATATTATAAAGTTTATATGTTAAATCAATTCATTACGCCATCATAATCTACTTTATCAAGTGTATAATTTTCTCTATTCCATGATTATTCCAATTTTTAATTGATCTATCCAGACAAATTGCATTACAAGTAGTTCTGTATGCGTTGGAAATTTATTGAATATTTCTTAATCTATTATAAGGAATCATTCCAGAGCTTCTTGCGGATTTCTTGCTTTTAAACTTGCTTCTTGAATAAACCTATCTATACGTAGATTTTCACTCTCCATTTAACAAAATCTTGTTGAAATCGTTTAGACTTGCAATTTTGCACCAAGAATCATCAGTATTTGGTCGGTCACAATCGGAACATAAACCAAACTCTTGATTAAGTATGCTAGACATTTTTTTTTAAAAAAAAAAAATAAAATAAAAATTTATTATTTGTTACACGCAATAGTGTTGCATCTTAATCGGTAATCGATACGGTACGAATCGTTTGTCGGTACGGTACGATTTTGCAGATCGGTATGTAATCATTTTGTAAAAGCGTTTCCTTTTTTAGTCATGATGCTTGTCAAATTATATTTAATGAAAAGCAAGCATTGTGAAATTAACGTCTAATGCAAATAGTTGTATTGCAAATAAAATTTTAATAATTATAAATTTCGCTTTTAATGTCGAGTCGCGTTATCTGAATACCGATAGAGGTATGAATTTACAAAATAGTCGTACCGCAAAAACGTACCGATCTGCAATATCGGTTATCATTTTTTCATTAATGCCAAACCCAAATATTTATTACTTTTCATTTTTTAGTTCACCAAATTACCGGATATTAATGTGATACAAACTGGAACAGTCTCAAAAGATTTAGTACAGCACTATGCTATGGTTTGTTTGGAAAAGTCGGCATTAATTTATTTTGAAACATTATTCAGTACAATTTTAGGTGCTGTTGGTCATCGCGTTATATGCAAGAGTTTAATAGATTTGCTCTTTTTTTTTGTTTACTGGTTTTCCCATATGTATGTATGGAATTCACTTTAATGATGACACATTAGGAATATTTTTTTGACTATTTGAAATAAAATGTGCCTTTTTGTGATTAAAACTTTATATTGTTTCTACACATGATATCTTTTTGATGGAACTTAAGAGGTCGCTTGTGTAACGTGCCGAATTTAATATAAAAAGATGATTGGATGTTGAAAAACAAACCTTGAAAAAGGAAACGGTTTTCCATACTCCATGGAAACTTTTTCTAAGGAGTATGGCTTGCCGTTTACAAATATTAATAATAATATTAGTATTTTATAAAGGATATTTCGGCTTTCGATTCACGTTTAAAATAAGTTTATTGTTTACGAAAAAAGTTAAAATACAGTAAGTAAAAATATATAGTTATATAGAAACAAAAAATTTAAAGATATTGTAAGAATATAAAATAAACGTGGTAAATACATTCATTCTGCTTATAAACGCGTGATAAAAAAATTTACAAAGATACACGAGATAAATTTAGTTGAAAAAATTGAGTTTAAATTAAATGAAATTTAAAATAGTGGAGTTCTCTGTCCACGACCACGACCACGATCACGACTTCGATTATCTCTATGGTGATTATTTTGGTTACGATAATAACTTCCTGCAGAAACTTTTCGAACTCGATCAATAATACCATTAAGAGCATTAATATTCTTTTGCCATTCTGCACGATTTTTAGCGACTGACGGGTCTTCACCTAATAAACTCTCCAAGTCTATTTTGTTGGTTGGATATACTGGATTTGTCGATTCTACTCCTAATAGTCTGAAATGGGTACGTAAATGCATTCCTAAACGTATAGCGAATTGATGTACGAGATAATATTCTACTATACGTGGTACGATCTCTCGAAATTTTGAATGTGACATTTTCCAATATGCTAAAGCACCCTGGGAAAAAAAAAAATTTATAAAGATTAATTCGCAAAAAATATTGATATTTAACAAGTGATCTTACGCTAAAGAACGTACCGTAGCAGCAAGGAAAGCATGTTCCTTGATGGTATTCTTTAGAATGCTATGATTTCTAGAATCGTCAGATTCGGGAATTACACGAATTAATCTATCTAAATATGAATTTTTTATCGACAACATCGTAGATAGAGTAGTAGATGATGGCGACGCATTTGTTGCAAGATCAAGTTTTTCTATTTCTCCAATTAACTTTTTAGCTGACTCGTCATTAAAGTCTTCACGCTCAGAAATATTATCGATTAAATCGATTAAATCGGTTTTTACTTTATCAAAGTCATTATCACTAACGTCCTTATCATACATCATGTCAAACAATTTAGAACCTAATTCAAGAACTGCTTTTAAGTCTTGATTCGTTCGTTTTGAGCCTGCTGCCAAAATTCGAAGCTTGATAAAATACTCTGATTGCTTTTTCAGAAGGCTGGCTTCATCAGTTACATAAAGAGCCCTACTAGCTGACATATGTTCCATCTCTTCAAGATCTTTAAGATGTTTTAATGTTTCATCTTTGCATTTTCTTAGTAGATCATGTAAAACGTTTCTATTATTTATTTTGTTAAAAAAAAGAAAAAAAAAGCGTAAATTTATTGTCACCAATCACGTGCAACGCAAAAAAAAAATTTACTTACTTGATTTCTCCAATGACATCCGGAAATTCTTTAAAAGTATCATCTATTAGCACATCAGTATAACTAGCAACCCAATCGTGATTTTTATTCAAGAGTTTGGTAGAAATCGAAAGCCATTCCTCTTGATGCTTTCCGACAATAGAAACTACCGCTTTATATGGAAAATAACCAACCAATAAACCTCCTTGTTTGTCTTGCACAACTTCATAAAGTTTATCCATTGACCACATATATTTTGAATTGCCATCAGAATTGTTAAAATCAATTTCTTCCCAATTTGTAGCTCGAATTTCTTCCATTAAAGTATTTGACCATCCACGGTATTGTAATGCACCAGGCTTAATGGGATCAAAAATTTCGGCCATCGTACTCCCTCCGTCAAACGAGAGTAAATATATTGGACGAGTTTTTAATAATGCTTGATCAAATTGACCAAAGTTCCATTGTTGTCCACGATATAACTTATGATCTACATGTTCGGCATTTGCGTGAGAGGTGAACAATTTGTCAAATTTTCCAATTAATTCCGAGAAACGTATGATTGGATTTTCAATAGATTTATGCGGAAGGCTATTTAATCTTTTTTCAAATTCATCTCTACAATCTTCCAAAATGGGTCGTATTTTTGGCCAAGTTCGTTTATGACACTCTTCTTGTAATTCGATTAATTTCATGACCAAATTTTGTAAGCCAAACATATTGGTTGGTACATCTTTCCAACTTTTTTGTTTTTTAAGTTCCCTAATCGTATCACTTTCCAATGTATCATCTGAATCTTCTGGTTCTACGTTAGATCTATTTCTTATAACATAAACACCATTTACAATTTGATGAACACCTTTTACAATTTGATGTTCTCCTTTACTTTTTACTAATTTGGCGAGTTCCAAATGCTTGTCTTCATCATTTGGGTATTCGATGATACGATCAATTTTTGTCAAGGCACCTACCGTACGCAAACCATTTGGATCTGCTTCAAGTGCAAGTAGCAAAGCGCACTGCGTAGAAATATCGGCGGTTGCTTGAATTATTGGAATCAGAATAGCCGAGTCTCTATTAATATATTCCTTTACCAAGGAAATAATAAACTTTTCGTTATTTTCAACGTTTCGCACGAATCCTGAATATGACGATCAAAAGATGTGCGAAAAAAAAGAATACGCGTCAAGCAATGGAATGAATTGTATGGTATAAGAAAAAAAATGAGATGTCTTTTGAATGTTTAATTTCTTTTATTTACCTGGTAAATCAACCAAGGAAATATTATAATATTGCGCGGGTCCACCAATTATAAGACATACAGCATTTTTTGTAAAGGGTAACTCATCATGATTTGGTTCAGGCAATCGCGTCTTGATATCTTTAATACTTGGGTTTTGTGCATAACGTTGAGCATCACGCAATTTTCTTTCGATATCCGATCTATACGAATTCGTTAAATCGGCGAATTCCACCTCTCTTGGTGTTATTTCCATATGATTTCTGTCCTCTACGTAACGTAAAGTGATTTTACGTATTGGTTCTTCGGATTGTATCATGTGTATTTCGAAAGGTGCTCTTGTACATAACGAGGTTCCACTGCGCATAACAATAATATTTTAATAAATATCACATATGTATAAAAAAAAAAGATTTATAAAAAAGGATTGTTGTTACATTGGCACTGGTAAGCCACCGGTAAACCTTTGCATTAGGGAACTTTTACCGCATGATTGATCACCGAATACGACAATTGTTGGAGTATGTTTTTTTTCAAAATTATCAAAATTCTTGAATATTCCGAGGTTTCTTATATCCTCCATGGTATCGATATAATCCCTCACACTTCTAGTTTCCGATGGTAAATTAAACATGTTCGTCGCGTAGTATAAAAAAAAAAAAAAAAAAACAAAAAAAAAATCTAGAAAAAAAAGTTTTGATAATTCCCAAGAAGAAAAAAGAAAATTTATTTTTTAAAATATTTTAGAACTATTCGAAGCCCGTGAGAAAAAATTAAGAGAAACTTTAAATTAGGAATACTATCGAATCGTTCTCACCAATGGCATGTGAGTTTTATCTGAGAGTATGGACTATCGTTCATGTGAAATCATTTTGTTTGGTTAGGCTAGATATTTTAGAACAATCAGGGTCAAATGATTAATAACTTTAATAACTTTAGTGGGAAAAACTCGTCATGTCGATCATTTTATTTGTTTTCGCTGCGCTAGTAGGTCATAATACATCAAAAAAGAAGATCAAAACCATTTGAAAAATAGATGGGCGATAGAAAATGGTCGTTTGATTATGCTATCAACTCAAGTAAACAACATATTTTAGATTATTATTATTCACAAAAGCTAATTTCGACTTGTAAATTTCCTATTTAATTTCTTGAATGGGTTTTAAAATTATAGTTTTCAGTTATTTATTAACAATGGGGATGATCATAAGACAAAATTAGTTTAACTTCAAGGACCCCGAAATTTATTTATAATCACAAGTTTCATTTTTCAGGTATAATGTTTCCAATCTATATAAGATCTACATGATTAGATAATGTAAATAAATAAATGCAAAAATGCAAAAAATAACTTAGTACAAATAAGGACAGCTCTAATTGTTTCAATCATAGAAGTCGTAATATGAAATACTAAACATGTTAAGTTAGAATAAAAATAATAATTTTCTCGCGTTATTTATTTTTTAAAAAAAAATAATACATATATTTCATAAATTACGATATTCAATATAAAAAAAGGTTCGACAGAATTTCTATACTCTTTTCCAATTCCATTTTCTTATTCATATGTATAATTTATCAAAATGCTACATATGAAATCAATTCAATACCTGCTCCATATTGATATGATAACAAAGGCCAAGGTTGTTTATGGCAATCATATTACCATTATTCGCAGCCTTTATAAACCAATAAATAGCCATTTTTAAATCTTTTTCAATACCCATTCCATTATGATAGAAATAACCAACTTGTAATTGTCCCAAGGCAAACCCCCTGTTAGCTACATTTTCATAATATTTAAAAGCCGACTTTATATCTCTTGTAATACCATATCCATATTCATAGCATAATCCAAGATAAAATTGCGCTAATATATGATCTTGCTTTGACGCTTTGAAAAATAATTCAAATGCATATTCGCCACTTTTACTTGTCCCGATTCCATAATAATAACAATATCCAAGTAAACAAATATAATTTGAACCATTTTGTTTAATTAATAACCAATTGAAAATTTCACGTACAGCGACATTTTGATTATTAAGATAATCAGAAATGTGTTGATTGACTATCTTTTCTTCAATTCCTTTATTCCTTTCCTCATAAATAAGATCAAATAACCTATCGATCATTATATCTAAATTCTTTTCGGATGAAATAATATTATTAATATATTGTGATTTTGGCGTTTTCATTTCTTTTTGAATACTTTGAAATACCCTTTCTTCAATATTATTTGGTTCGGAATTCACTTGAACATTTTCTGTCATCATGTTGGTTTTCGTAATGATTACACTTAATTTATCAACTACTTGTTTCATAGTTGGACGATTATCCGGCTCATTATCCCAGCACTCTAAAAACATAAAAAATTTATTAATCAAAAATATTATTATTACGTTATTGCAATTTAAATAATTTTAATACAACAATATTAATTCATGATAATATATTTACCAGTAAAAATATTTACATATTCTTCAGGTGTACTAGGTTTGATCTTTTCTCTGAGACCTTGTGAGATTTTTATAGCTAAATCCATATCAAAATGTTTTCCTTCAACATGAAATGGAGGACGCCCACTTGATATTTCCCATAAGAGGACGCCGATACTGTAAACGTCACTTTTATCATTTAATGTATATTGTTGCGATGTATCGAACAATTTTGGATCGACGTAAGGGATTTCACCAAAAACTTTTGACTGTTGCTTTGATACTTCTTCAATTCTTTTAGATAACCCAAAATCAGCTAGTTTAATAGTACCTTGGTGAATTAATATATTACTGGAGTGCTATTTTATTTATATACGTATATATAACAGATATTAAAATTATATTTTTAAAAAACAGTCATATTCATAATCAACAAAATAAAATAAATGAAACCCTTACCAAATCACGATGCAGAATTCCTTCGTCATGTAGGCACGATACGGCACAAGCCAACTGGAATGCAAGGTTGTATTTATCTACCCAAGTAAGCTTATTAAAAGTTTTCTTCAAATAATTCCTAAGCGCACCGCCATCAGCATATTCCATGACTAGCCAATATCTTTTCGGTTGATCGTTTTGATCCTCTAATTTGTATTAAAGAAATTATACGAGTTAAATTTAAAATATAAAGTCAATGTATATCTTTTAATTCAATACGAAGATTGTTTTATACCTTGATTTGAAGTTGTAATCCCATAAAAACGGATGATGTTGTCATAAAAATCAACTTCGCGTCTAAGTTCAAGCTAATTATAAAATGAATTTTGATAAATAAATGATTTTATACTAAGAACGAAATACATGATATATTTTGTAACTACCTCACGAATAAGTTCTTTAACAGTGGCATTATTAAAGTTAAAAAGGGATTTTAACGCGAGACATTGTTTTGAAGTTTTCCAATTTGCACGATAAACTTTGCCAAAGCTGCTAGTACCGATTTCTTGAACATTGCTAAAGTGTTCGTATTCGTAACATTTCATATGTTTTTTAGAAATAGCTTCTTCGATCGAATTAACCCACTCATTTGAGTTATTTTCATTTTCATTTAGCATTTTGATTTATTTATTTCTTTGTAAAACAAAAAAAAACATGTAACGGTAACGTTATTCAAATTCCCAAGCCACCAGAGATTATGTGAATTTCATGTAAAACGAATATCGATTTTTTTTGTGTAAGGGAAAATTTACAATTTATAATAGATTGACCTGTCAAATCTAATCGGTCAATCTATGTTTCAACGAAGATTTTATATTGCTTGTAATAAATTAATAAAAAATAATTATTCTTCTAATAATAATAATTTTATTCGACTAACAAGAACTTTTTCAATAATGAGCTCTCAACAAAATCACAAATTATGCATGATACCCGGTAAGGACTTTTCCAATATCTTGTATCAAAAATTTTTGGAAAAAAAAAATTTTTTTTACTCATATTTTTTGATTTTACAGGACCCGTGGAATTTCATGAAGATGTTTTAACATCAATGTCAACAAAAGCAACATCACATGTATCACCTTCATTTATTCCCGTATTTGGAGAAAGTATTGAACTTTTACGTAAAGTATTCGTTACTGAACATGGACAACCAATCGTTGTATCGGGGTCAGGTACTTTAGGGTGGGATATGGTAGCATCCAATTTGGTTGAACCTGGTGAAGAAGCATTAGTATTAAATTCAGGATATTTTGGAGATTCGTTTGCTGCATGGTATTAATAATCATAATATATGCATTGGCTTTCTCGCAAATTTCATTTAATTGACTCCAATTACATTGTAGCCTCAAGGTATATGGAGCAAAAGTGACAGAAGTTAAATCAGAAATTGGAGATCGGCCAACACTTCAAGAAATTTCCGATGCGTTATCAACTAAATTTAAACTTATTACCATTACTCATGTTGACACATCAACAGGGGTTTTATCAGACGTTAAAGCAATTGCTGAATTGGTTAAAAAAAAATCGCCAAACACATTAATTGTTGTTGATGGTGTTTGTTCTGTTGGTTCGGAAGAAATTCGTGTTGATGAATGGAATCTTGACGTTGTTTTGACAGCAAGTCAAAAAGCTATTGGTGTTCCTCCTGGTTTATCAATTTTAATTGCAAGTGAGCGTGCTATCGTGAGTGATTTTTTAATTATTATTATTATTACCATTTTTTTAATGATTTCATTTTAACATTTGATTCGATTTAAAAAAAGCAAACCTTTAAGGACCGTAAAACACCAGTTCCAAGTTATTATGCGTCCTGGGCTCATTGGCTTCCAAGTATGAACAAACCAATTACTTATATTTTATATTACGTCATACCATCTCTTTATTAACCTTTATTTATTTTACAATTAGTTATGCATGCATATGAATCTCGTAAAGGAATGTATTTTGCTACTCCACCAGTACAATTAATTTATGCGTTAAATACAAGTTTAAAGCAAATCACTTCAACTCCACTTGAAACGAGATTTGAACAGCATAAAAAAGTTAGTGATCAAGTTAAAAATGTCGTCGAATCTTTGGGATTACAATTTGTAAGGAAATATTTTCTTTTCGATATTAGTTTATTTATATATATTGGGGGACATTATAAGTTAATTAAATGAAAATGATTGTTTTTAATTAATTAGGTTCCTAAATCCAGAGAAGTCGCTGCCAATGGAATGACAGCTGTTTATTATCCCGAGGGAATTCAACCTGCTGATTTACTTCAGAAAGTTGCTTCACATAATGTTGTAATTGCTGGTGGTTTACATAGGGCTATCGCTTCGAAATATTTTAGAATTGGGTATGATTTATCATTAAAAAGTTTTTTGTTTATTTATGGAATCGATTAATAATAACAATAATAAATGTATATAAATTATTAGGCATATGGGAATTAGCGTAACTGAACCTGAACGTAAACATATAGATAATACTATTGCGGCTTTAACTACTAGTTTGAAAGATTTAGGTTATTCTGGAAAATAGGACTTTATAATATAATAAATTGATTAATAGATTATTTGAAACTACTATTAATAAAGAAATGGTTGGTTAAGTAATGAATAGAATGAACAAATATCAAAGAATCTTAAATACAGAAATTTGTCAATAAGTTAAATTTTAAATTACGTTATCAAATGTTTAAGACGTATAAAAAAAAGTCGTCGTAAAATTGAAAAAGGGTCAATCTGCAAAAGTTTTAATTTATTCTTTTTCAAATTCTTTCCGTTAATTTCGCTTGAACGTTTATAATTTCATCCGAGCATGTATACCAGTAAAATAACCATAACAGATACCGGTTATGTGGGGATTTATTAAATGATTTAATATTGTACTACTATAATTTCAAACGGACACTAGCAATTGGAATTGATATTTTAATGTATCTTAATGGCAATTCTTATTTTTTTATTTTATTTTATTTTATTTTTTTGGAAAAAAAAAAATCAGGCTTAACATATTTAATCAATTTCACATTTAAATTTTTTTAGCTTTTTGATAGTCAAAAAAAAAAATGTGAAAATCAAACAAATACAAATCAAACGTTAATGTCCGAAATGAGCATTTCGGATATCCCAAATGCCGGACATGCATTTATCCCAAACGACCTCTTCGGATAATGTCCCAAATGCTCACTTCAAATAATCCCCAAATTATCATTTCGGATGCTATTTTATGCTCCAAAAAACCATTTCATCTGAAGTAGTCATATTATCCGAAGTGAGCATTTGAGATAATTCATTTGAAATTTCGCATTTGGGATATCCCAAATGTGCATTCCGATTTGGGATATCCGAATAATGCATCTGGGCTACAACAGAACTCATCAAGCATTTAACATCAAAGAGTAATAGATTCTAATGAAGAATATTATAAAACAACCGTTTGAAAGTAAAAATTCGTTTGAATATAATTAAAAATCAACCATTTTTTTTTTATTTAAAAAAAAAACGAATTTATTGAATTTTCTATTTACCCACATGGAATTCTTGTTGCAAAACTAGTGTATTCCCGTTTAAGGTTTAATTTAGGCGTTGATTAAATAAAAGTAATCAAGTTTACACAAATTTATTATAAAAATGATACATGGTGACAAAAAAATTTTTTTTGCATCTTAAAAAATGATTACAAAAATTCTTGCACTTTCGTTTCAGCAATATGCTGTTACCAAAGCATTTAACCCTCCAAATCCACCTACTCCATCGTCAAATGTAAAAGTAATGAGTCATGAAGGCTTTATTGGCATTTTCTTTATAAATGTTTTCACATATTTATCTACTATTTTACACTTAATTCTTTCATTCTGTTATATTTATATCATGTATCAACAAGAGATTAATGCAATTCCAATTTTGCCTTATGAAGATAGTAAATTTTCGGAATGGAATTTAGTAGATATAATTTGTTTCTTGTGTACAATTGGAGGGTTTTGTTTAAGGTTATGGTGTTTCAATACTTTGGCAAAATTTTTTGCTTTTAATCTCGAAATTAAGAAAAATCACAAGTTAATCAAGACAGGTCCTTACACCTTATTAATTCATCCGTCGGTACGTATCATTTATCTCTTTAGTCAAAGGATTGATTTATTCTTCAATTTGTTCAAAAATTCACTTTTTTTTTTCTTTTAAACCAGTACACGGGAGCATTTTTAACTATGTCGAACGTGTCTTTGATGTTTTATCAATTACATTATTATATTCCCTTATATTTCTCAAATAATGTTCGTTGGATATTAAGTCTGTACTTACCTACTTTATTGTCGTTTTTGGGGATATATTTCTCAATTACAAGAGTCATCCTTGAGGAACAGATGATGAGAAATAATTTTGGCAAAGAATGGGATGAATATGTTAGTCAAAGAAAAAGATTTGTTCCATATATATTTTAGATTTAAACGTTTTCTTTTAAATGAAATTCATCTTGAACTTAAAAATGACCAAACTGTTATTATTATCGAGTTAACTAATGAAATAAAGTGATGTTTCTTACGAATATTCAATCAATGTCTAAATAATTTTAAAAAGTTCTGTCAAAAGACACTTTTTCGTAATTTTCAATCGTGTTATCCAGATTATTAAATAAATCTAGGCAAGAACAACGAGTAAACTTGTTTCACTTTTCGAAAAAAAGTAATATATTTATTTCATATTTTATCATTAATCCTGGCATCGGTACACTGCTTATTGTAAAATAAAAATTATTTGAGACATTTTTAATTAGAAATAAAAAGGTCGGTAAAGGTATCCTCTTCGAAACTATTTGATGATACAATTGGAATTGCTAATAGTTGGTTATGGTATAAATAAATTTTATACACAAAAATATATTAAATAATAATAATTAAAGCAGGGGCCTTTGCAATAGAAAGGGGGGAAACAGCCGGAAAAACCAAAAATGAGTTAGTGCTAAATTTGAACATATTTCAGCCTAAAAATCATATTTGCCATATAAAAGTAAAATTAATTTTTCACGGCAGTTTCCCCTTTCTATTGCAAAGATTTGAGACAAACTTACTGTAGTTAAGGTGTACCGAAAAGTAACCAACCAATCACGTATCGACTCGATTTTTGAGCGGAATTCGATAAAAATTATGCTTAAAACTTTTGATTCAAAAATTCGGCAGAGTGAAACTATTTATTTGAAATCTGGTAATTATTATAACAACAATTGGAAATAATGCCTCCCTAAATATTTGTAGAAAATTTGAGATTAAACTATTTGCTTATAAAAAATAACTTTACCTAAACTTCTAATAAGTTTTATTAAGTTTCATCAAGTTTTAGATTTAAAAAAAAGTCATTTTAAAGGTTTTGAAATAGTTTCTAAATTTTTAAGCTATACATTAAAATAGGTTTCAAATAGTATCATTAATTGGAAATTATGATAAAAGTAGCTTGATGTAGTCTTATATTTGAAAGTAGTCGGTCAATTGAAATAATCGATTGTTTGATCACTTAAATTTATGAATTTATTATGGCAAAGTAATTTAATTTAAGTTTGAGATGAGATCATTTAAACTTTATCTTTTTATTTTATTTATATATAAACTAAAAGTTATAGAATAAAATTTTGATCAAAAAATTCAAAATAATTTAAAATACTTTTAAAAGTTAAAATAGAAAGAAAAAATACTTAACTTGTAAAATAAATTAAGAATTTTCATTTAATAATTATATGTTTTAGTAAACAATTATAATATAAAATTTTTTAATTAAAGATATTAAATTATTTGATTAAAATAATATTTTTACTTATCTACAGATAAATAATAATTTAGATAATTAATATATAAATAAATTTATTCAAGACCAACCACTGAAATATTATTTTTATTTTCAATTTTATTGATTCTGAAAATATGATATTGCTATACTTATTATTGTAATTCTAATAAGATATATTTCAGAACAATGATTAATATTTATACATATATATTACTTAGATCAGTCTTTCTTTAAAATTGAATCCAATATAAATAAATAAAGTAAGTTATATTATATTCCATATAGATTTAAATCCCAAAATCAGGTCAAAATTTAACCTTCTATTAATAACTTAATAAGATATTCCTCATCTTATTTGTATTCTGATCTATTTTCATCTTACATGAATCATACTAAAATCATTCAATTTGTTATTGATTTATCTGCAATGCCTACATGTTTTAGAAGTATATTTCTTGGTATATATAGTAAACTTAAATACTTGTACTCTTTTATCTTGTACTGTTAACATGCGATTTTGGTGGATCACTACAGTTAAACAAGGTGTTCAAATGTTGTTTCTTTTTAATGTACGTAGTAATCTACTGATTTATTCCTAAGTCCTGAACTTATAACTTATGTCACTCAGACGTATTAATTTGATATTTCACTAAGATATTAAGCTATCACAAAGACCCAATTATCTTTACACAGATTAAATACAAAAGACCTGATTGTCTTTACACAGATTAAATACAAAAGACCTGATTGTCTTTATACAGATTAAATACGAAGACCTGATTATCTTGTATGTTTATACTCAGATTGCAGCTTATCGCTAAGACCTATGCATCATGCAGATTTGTAGATTTTACTCTAATATTAAATATCACGCTATCATTTCTAAATCAGATTGCATTCATTGTTTTTGAAAATGCTGATATCATCAAGCCTTTTTATAATGACCTCTGGTCCATTAAATTTCTTGAAACTGCACTTAGAATAGAACCAACTGATCTCAATCCCATGCAAATCACTTTGAGACAGCAATTTGAACTAAAACTAACTATTAACAGTAACTTTGCTTTTGAACCTCTTTTTCTCTTCATTACAAAAAAAAAAGTTTAAAAAGGAGAGAAAAAAGATTGATTATCATGTTACACTTATTAAATCCCTTTTATACTATTTTCTATGATATTTTTTATAATTATTAATATATTCTGCATCTGAAAATCTATTCCGTAAGTTTTGCAGAAATCTGTGAAATGAATAAAATCATCATCTCTGCATCCTACACCTTTTTGTATTACCTAATTACCAACCATTTGTCTAATGTGCATATCAGATATGCTTTTTCAGTTTTCATCAAGACGTGTTTCTCTGTTAAGGCGAGTTTAATTTTTTATTACTTTCAACTTAATCATAAGATGATTAAAATCTGCAAAGTCTTGTGTAATCTACCTTTTTTTGTGAAATATATTATATTCTCCCCAAAGAAGGCGAGTATGGTTTTTCATTATACATCTTTAACTGTATAAGTTGTATAAGTAGTTTGCATAAGAGTTGTTACATATTTATGATGAACTAACTTGTAGATTACCTTTTTTGTGAAGTATATTACTCCCAGATAAGGTGAGGATGGTTCTTCATTATATATTCTTTTTATTGAGTAATAAGTAATCTACCTAGTTAGTTATATACAAAATTATATTTTTTAATATGCAGAAATTTTCGCTTAAAAGACTGGCTATACTCTTGATTATAATATAATACTTTATGATACTTTATAAGAATTATATGAAATCTTTTGTTGTATTATTTATTTGTATTTACACATTTTATTTTTTTTTTATCCTTTACTTTTTCTGTTAGAAAAATTTGGTTATATAAAGCCATCGACATTGAAAGGCCATAGACTTTTCACGTATAATACAATTACGAATTAATAGAAATCTCTATAGTACGAATTATAAGTAATTATATTTCATATTTTAATATTAACTGACTTACTATTATATTTGAGACGAAAAGAGACAGATGCAACTTCAAGTAGTATTTAAACCCAGAATCTGTTAATTCAGATTGCTAATGGATATCTGTTATTATCAAATACCCAGATTGAAAATTGACTAATAAATTGTCATTTGAATACAAATATCACCTATCAGATCTAACCGGATAGACTCGATAAGTAATATATGGGAGGCGGTCAGTAGAAAAGGGGGAAATCCAAATTTTGGACAAAAATTTTTTAATTAGTTCACTTCACTGATCATAGTCATGTGAACAAAATTAGCTTAGTAACTAAAGTTACTAAAATTTTCAGATTTCCCCCTTTTTTACTGACCACCTCCTATATATATATAAATTGATTAGCAAAGGGATGATATGTGACTAATTATTTTTTATATTTCTGCTTTATATTACATAATATATTATATAGGGCCTTTGCAATAAAAGGGGGGAAACTGCCAGGAAAAATTAATTTTACTTTTATATGCTAAATATGATTTTTAGGCTAAAATATGTTCAAATTTAGCATTAACTCATTTTTGATTTTTCTGGCAGTTTTCCCCCTTTCTATTGCAAAGGCCCCATATTATAATTATAAATAATATAAATATTATAGGTCGAATAAGAAAATAAAAGTTGGTCGAAAAAAAAGTTGGACTTGAACATATTTTGAAGAAATAAATATTGAAGAAAGATTAATTAAAAAAAGGGAATCACTTAAAAGATGCAAAGTTCTTGATGCTAACGGAAACAAATGCGAAACTTATTATGTTAATGATGGTTCAACTGAAAATGCTATCAACCAATTATTAAACGATCATGAAATAACTAATGAAAGCAAAAAAATCAAATCAGTATTTTTGTTTTAATTCTTTAAATTTAATTTATTATTTTTTTTTGTAAATTATAAAAAATTATTTATTTATTTCATTATATTTCTAACTGATTGGATAGTAAATGATCTTCAACTACTATTTATAGTTCAAAATCCTTTGTTTCATTAATTAATTAGTGAATTAGATCCTGCTTTTGTAATATCAGAAGAAAAAGAAATCAAAAAATAATTTTTAATTCTTATAACTCTATGATGCCAGCATTAGGCCATTCCAACTTAATTCTATGTTTAACATAGCATAAGTAAACAGTAAAAAGGAGGGGGGGGGGAATGCTAAAAATAATACATCGTTATATCACATGACAAAAAAATATAGTAATTCTATTGGCTACATATAATGTAATATCAAATTTTAAAAAATTTGTTAACGTTAACGAAAATCAATAAAAATTATTAAAAGTATTTATTATTTATTATTATATATAAAATGTATTATTTACATAAAAAATTATTTACATAAAATAAATCTATGTTTTATGACGTTTTGAAGCACGTCCATTAGTTTTAATCTCTTTTTTAGTATAAAAATCTTTTCTACCTTCCTGACACATCTCACATAATGAATAAATTTGCTTGAAACGTTGTTTTAAAGATTCGGGAGGAGTCACCAAATCTTTGCTTTCTCCACAATAATAACAAATTGGGTAATTTCCTGATTTGCGACTTGAATAATATAATATTTCAATTGGCGAATCACAATTAATTCGTGTGCGTACAAACACTACTTCTTTTAAGTAATGATCATCAGGAAAAATTGGTACACCACAGGAATATGAA